TTATGAAGATAGTGAGGCTCAGGTTAGGGTGTGTAGGAGAGAGGGAGATTACTTCCCAGTAAAAGTAGGTCTTAGACAGGGATGTGCAATGTCACCATGGTTGTTTAACATATTTATAGATGGGGTTGTAAAAGAAGTAAATGCTAAGGTGTTGGAGAGAGGGGTAGGATTAAATTATGGGAAATCAAATACAAAATGGGGGTTGACATAGTTACCTTTTGCTGATGATGCTGTGCTTTTGGGGAATTCTAAAGAAAAGTTGCAAAGGTTAGTGGACGAGTTTGGGAGGGTGTGTAAAGATAGAAAGTTGAAGGTGAATGTAGATAAGAGTAAGGTGATGAGGATATCAAACAATTTAGATAAAGAAAAATTGCACATGACACTGGAAGGAGGGAGTATGGAAGAAGTGAAGGTTTTCAGATATTTGGGAGTTGACTTGTCAGCAGATAGGTTTATGAAGGATAAGGTAAACCACAGAATTGCTGAAGGAAAAAGGTAAGTGGTGCATTGAGGTATCTTTGGAAACAAAGAACGTTATCCATGGAGGGAAAGGGAATATACGAGAGTATAGTGGTACCAACACTCTTATATGGGTGTGAAGCATGGGTTGTACATGCTGCAGCGAGGAGGCGGCTGGAGGCAGTGGAGATGTCGTGTGTAAGGGCAATGTGTTGTGTAAATATTATGCAGAGAATTTGTAGGGTGGAAATTAGGAGGTGTGGAGTTATTAAAAGTATTAGTCAGAGGGCTGAAGAGGGGCTGTCGAGGTGGTTTAGTCATTTAGAGAGAACAGAACAAAGTAGAATGACTTGGAGAGCATAAAAATCTATTGGGGAAAGAAGGCAGGATAGGGGGCCATCCCCAAAAAGGTTGGAGGGAGGGTGTAAAGGAGGTTTTGTGGGTGAGGGGCTTGGATTTCCAGCTAGCCTACATGAACATGTTAGATAGGAGTGAATGGAGACGAACGGTTTTTGGGACGTGATGAGCTGCTGGAGTGTGAGCAGGGTAATATTTTGTGAAGGAATTCGGGGAAACCGGTTAGCCGGACTTAAGTCCAGGAGAAAGCTGGTAGACCTACATATGAGAGAATGGGTCTGCATGGTCAGTGTGAGCAGTATAAAAAAAAAATCCTGCAGCAAGCAGTGCATGATGAGGAAAAAAAATTCTGATTGTTTTTGGTTTAAAACGCTGACTTAAGGTGTATTTTCATATGGCATTTATGGTTGTATTCTCGTTGTCTTAGTCTCATTTGATAGAATGGAAGATATATTACAGAAATAGAGATGATTTTGATTGGTTTCAACATAAGAACATAAGAAAGAAGGAACACTGCAACAGGCCTACTGACCCATGTGGAGCAGGTCCATGTCCCACCCCCCTGGATTAAACCAATGACCCACCCCCCGGAATATCCCAATGACCCACCCAGTCTGGTCACCTCCGCTCAAGGATGGAGCACTGCACCAGACCCAGCAGCACATGCTAGTCAGGTCCAACTCACACCCACCCACACCCACTCATGTATTTATCTAACCTATTTTTAAAACTACACAACGTTTCAGGCTCAATAATTGTACTCGGGAGTTTGTTCCACTCATCCACAACTCTATTACCAAACCAGTGCTTTCCTATATCCTTCCTGAATCTGAATTTTTCCAACTTGAAACCATTGCTGCGAGTCCTGTCTTGGCTGGAAATTTTCAGCACGCTAATTACATCCCCTTTATTTATTCCTGTTTTCCATTTATACACCTCGATCATATCCCTCCTAATTCTACGCCTTTCGAGAGAGTGCAGATTCAGGGCCCTCAGTCTATCCTCATAGGGAAGATTTCTGATACAAGGGTTCATCTTTGTCATCCTCCTCTGTATGTTTTCCAGAGCATTTATATCCATTCTGTAATACGGTGACCAGAACTGAGCAGCATAGTCTAAATGAGGCCTAACCAAGGATATATAGAGCTGAAGAACAACCTGAGGACTTCTATTATTTATACTTCTAGATATGAAGCCAAGAATTCTATTAGCTTTATTGTGAACACTAATGTACTGTTGTCTTGGTATTAGGTTACTGCTAACCAGAACTCCTAAATCCTTTTCACAATCAGTAGTATTAAGATCTACATTATTTAGTTTATATGTGGCATGGTTATTTAATTGTCCAACATTTAGAACTTTGCATTTGTCAATATTAAACTGCATCTGCCACTTCTCCGACCATTGCATCAGTCTATTCAAATCATCCTGGAGTGCTCTAGTGTCCTCATTAGAATGAATTGGATGGCCTATTTTGGTGTCATCAGCAAATTTGCTTATGTCGCTATTTATTCCCTCATCTATGTCATTTATGTAAATTGTGAACAACAACGGGCCCAACACTGACCCCTGAGGAACACCGCTTGTGACGTGCCCCCATTCTGATTTCTCCCCATTTATGCAAACTCTCTGCTGTCTATTTGTCAGCCATGCCTCTATCCAGGGAAAAATTTCTCCTCCTATTCCGTGTGCCTTAAGTTTCCTCAATAGCCTCTGGTGTGGAACTCTATCGAAAGCCTTACTGAAGTCCACATACACAATATCATATTCATTACCATGATCTACCTCCTCAAACACCTTAGTGAAAAAAGTTAGTAAATTCGTAAGACAGGAACGCCCCTTTGTAAAACCGTGTTGAGATTCATTAATCAAATTGTGCCTGTCAAGATGGCTACGAATTGCTTCGGCAATTATTGATTCCATAAATTTTCCCACTATGGAGGTAAGGCTTATTGGTCTATAGTTTGAAGCCAAGGACCTGTCACCTGCCTTGTAAATACACCTACCATCCGACTTACGACTGAGTTCGGTTCCGAGGAACCGGTCGTAAGTCAAAATGGTCGTAAGTCGAACTTTACTACTGAATATCAACAAAACATTTTTGTAATGACTTTATTTTATTGTTTGATTTTGGTATTTCATGTTTTACTTTACTTTTTATGTTGTTAGTACTGTATTTTATACTGTAAGGTTTAGGATAAACACTGTGTACAACACAAATAGTTGTTTATTTCCCAGAAATTTGGCATAAAAAACACGGTCGTAAGTCGAGTGGTCGTAAGTCGAGCAGGTCGTAAGTCGAATGGCAGGTGTAGGTCCTGCATTTGCCATTTTCCACTTATCAGGCACTATGCCAGTTTGTAGTGATATGTTAAAAAGATTAGCCAAAGGTATGCTAAGTTCCTCTTTACATTCCTTTAACACCCTTGCAAACAGTTCATCAGGACCTGGGGATTTGTTAGGTTTTAGTTTCTCTATTTGTCTGAGGACCATGTCACTGTTACCGCAATCGTACATAGTTCATTGTTGAAAAGTACCTTGAAATTGAGCTCAAAATAGCAGAAATGTTAAATTTTTGCCAATATGTGTCCTACTGGCCAGTCTAATAAGCAGTCATGAATGGGTTGACATTATTTATACAATTACAGTGGACCCCCGGTTTACGATCAGCTCCCAATGCGACCAATTATGTAAGTGTATTTATGTAAGTGCGTTTGTATGTGTATGTTTGGGGGTCTGAAATGGCCTAATCTAATTCACAATATTCCTTATGGGAACAAATTCGGTCAGTACTGACACCTGAACATACTTCTGGAATGAAATAATATCGTAAACCGGGGGTCCACTGTATTACAATAATGCAGCAGTCTGCATAAAAGTAAATCTTCTATTTTTTGTGTGAATAAAAATTCAAAATGAAAAGCAAGAGTAATATAAGAGGGGCCTGAAGACATGACTACTGAACAGAGAAAGTGTCATTTTAGTGCCAGGAATGTCTCCACTGTTTATTGTGGACCCTATTTTGAAATTAGCATCTTTTGAAATCTGTGTGAAATTGGCCAAATTGCCAATTTCTGACCACTTTATTGGGTGGTTTAAATCGGTAAATGGGCGGTTTCTTGTACTCAATCGATAGAGCAAATGGAGTTCTAGCGAAATAGTGACGAGTCTGGTCAACTAGAACAATGGAATTGGAAGAAAATAGGACTCAAAGTGGGCAAAATCACCGATGCATATATAACGCCAAGACCGCAAACTTTGCAAGAGCGTATTGCCATACTTTTGATGTTGTTACCATCAGGAAAAGATTCTCTTACCATTTCATAAGAATTTTTTTTTTTTTTAAATTCTTCAACACTGGGAATAAGTTTGTGAGCAGGGATCTTGACAGTGAAAGGGTTAAAGAAAAAAAAAAAAAAAGGCTCAATACCGTGACTGGTATTGGTCCAGGTCGGACCGAAACGTCGTCGTAAGCTCCTCTCTTCCATGTGCGGGTTATTTGTGTAAAGGGTTAAAGCATTCCACTGTTTGCAAACAAAAAAATATCTTCCTACTCTTTTGGCAGCTTTTCTTTCTTAATTTATAGTTATGGGCTTTTGTTCTGTCAGTCTTTGTAGTTACAAACTCACTAGAATGAAAGCCCACAGCCAGGCAGGCCCATAGTAATTTGCAATCTCCCCACCATGAAAAAGGGTGGCTACACACTGGTCAGCTACATTTGTAACAGATTAATTTTTTGATATGTTTCCAAATTTCACATTCAGTGCAATCTACTAGCATTTTTACCCTGTGAATGGGTGCCTTTTTTTTTTTTTAATCCTTGAATTTCTCTTCGTTGTATAGGAGATATGATAATAGAGGTCCAGTTTTCTCTCTTTCGACACTTTTAAACATTGTTAATTAAAGTCCTCTTTTTTTTGGGGGGGGGGGGGGCAAGGTTTTAATATTTTATATGATGTAAATTACAAGAGTTTATTTTCTTAAAAACTATCCAGCAGACTAATGCAACACATTCCAATTATTGATCAGGTGGAAATAGATGGTATGGAATACAGAATGTATCATTTATAGCTTTTACTTGTAGACATTATGTATTTCATAACCAAAACAACTTGTTAGGAAAAAACATGAACATACCTTAAACTATCAGTTACTGTACTAGAAAAATTCCATTTTACACATACTTTTGCATTGAGTATACCCTCAAGAATTTTGGGGTCACAGAAGTTAGTTTCATCAGAAATATCGAGCTTCTTCTTGTCATCTCTGGACCACGATAAAAGTGTGTCATAATCTGGAGGTGCATTAGTGCAGTGTGGCAGCCATGAAATTTCTTCTTCAACTTCAACATGCTAAAAATAACAAAGTAAAATATCATTATACCAAATTAACCTTACAAATAATATTTTAATTTTTATCACAGCACCCACCTTCATCTTCAATATTATCATCCTGTCTAAACCCAAAAAAGTCCCACTAAACAGATGTACAAATACTGTACATTCAAGCACTGCCTTCACATTTGTATTTTGGTCTTTTGCTGAAGTGGTATGCACAGATGTGCTAGTCATTATGATGAGCCTTGAAAAACAAACATTTTCATGCATCCCTCTTCAGAAAAAAAATTTAAGTTTATTGAGCTTAACCCTTTGAGGGTCTGTCCCGTAGATCTACGGCTTTACGTTCAGGGTCCAAACCGTAGATCTACGTCATGAGCTCAGCTCACTCTGATAAACTGTGAGTGGTACATTTGGGCCTAGATATGACAGAATACATCTATGTGGTATGTGTGCACCACATAAAACAGATCCTGCAGCACGCTGTGTATAATGAGAGAAAAAAACTGAAATCATGATTTTTCGATTAAAACAGCGACTTTGCAGTGTTTTTTCTTATGTTTTTTATAGTTCTATTTGCGATTTCTTGGTCTCATTTGATAGAATGGAAGACATATTACAGAAATAGAGATGATTTTGATTGGTTTAAGCACTGAAAATGGCTTGAAACTGAGCTCAAAGTAGCAGAAATGTTAAATTTTTGCCGATATTCAAGAGTAAACAAACGACCTCACATGTCTAATACACGCCAGCTGGTGGGTCTAATATGCATTTACAAATATGGTGATGATATTTATACAATTGTTACAGTATTGCATAACAGTAAATCTTCTATTTTTTGGTGTGAATAAAAATTCATTATGTGAATAAAAAATCAAAATGGAATTTATTTGTAAAGCCTCAAAACGTAACTAATGAACAGAGGAAATGTTAGTTTAGTTCCAGGAATACCTACATTGTTTATTCTGGACCCTATTTTGAAATTGGAATATTTTGAACTTTGTGTTAAATTGGCCAAATTAATAATTTCTGATCACTTTAATTTGTAGTTGAAACAGTTGACTTGGCGATTTCTTGTGCTCAATCGATAGAATAGAAGTAATACTAGTGAAATAGCTAAGAATTTGGTTGACTGGAATAATGTAATTGGCCTAAAATGGGAGTCAAAGTCGGCAAAATCACCGATTCGTAAATATCGCTGACATATCAAAATTCGCAAGAGCATAATTTCGTCAATTTTCCATCAAATTTCGTACTTTTTAATTATTACCTTCACAAAAAGATTCTCTACCATTTCATAAGAAAAAATAAAAAATTTTTTTTTTTTAAATTCTTGGACACTGGGGCACCACTTCAGATTTGGGCCTTGGACCCTGAAGGGGTTAAATATACTGTACTTTTACTCATCAAAAAGGAGCACCTAATTGCTTAAATCTGACTCCCATCAGGTTTGCCCTATAATTAAGGTAAATTCAACCTAACATTTTTTTGTTATTAAATTTACCTGACTGCCTACCTGACAGTAGTCATCCCATAATTAATTAATTAACACACACATGTGTGTGTGTGTGTGTGTGTATGTTTACATACAAACAACTGTATTCATACAACAACAAGGCAGAACATCTTGACCTAGAGAGATCTCTACCCTGGTCTTTTTGTTTAAATTTTACTTGTATGGTGATCCCTTGCTTAGCGACCTATATAGGAACTGTAAGAATGGTTTGATAAGGGAAAATTAAGTTAAGTGAGTCTAATTTTCCCACAAAAGCTGATGCTGTAACTTGATATGTGGACCAGGATAATTTTCTATATCTAAATTCTTTTATTTCTTAAAAGCTGTAATTTAAAAAATATGTACTCACCAGACCTAAATCAATTGATTACTAAGGGCATAGTGGTGTTATGCCCTCCCTCTTTCCAGTTTCATGAGTCCATAATACCATAAACGAACACTGAAAATAAAACAATTGTGTACCGGATGTAGAGGGACTAACACTCCTAAGCAACTTTTGACTGATGGCTGTCTGGCTTGAAGTGGTTTCTCTATACACAAATTTCTGAAGCACTACAAAGCATTGCTCATTGTAATATCAAAGGTCAAGGTACAATCAATAATCTGAATGTTGTGATCAATAATCCTTCAATAATCTGAAACCCTTTAGTTAAGCCACAAAAGCTTCTCACCAGCATCCACATGCTGCGAAGTGTCCAGTTTAGTGTCCTGAGTAATGCACTTCCGCATGGCTTTTGCAGCACTATCACCCTGAGCACCTGCTAGTCATGTAGCACTAACGTTGTCAAATGTGAAGTTTAGTGAAAGCACTAGAGAAGCCTGAAGGAGCATCAGAGACCAGACACTATCAGGCAAACATGGGCTGGCTCACGTCAATTCTCACAAGTGGCGAGAAGTGAGTCTACTGTGTCTCATGAGTAAGCCACCATTCTAGCAATTGCTGTGCTTACCTTACATATTTGTTTATTGGTAATGCCCACCCAACTGTTGTTCGAGGAAGTGGTCTCTAATTGGGGACACTAGGAAAACTCTGTGTTTTCAATTGTTGGTTACACCAATTTAGTTGTTATTCAAGAAAACAGTTGCTAATTAAAGGAAAAAGTCTGTAGCCAGTAAATTTGGCTGTTAAAAATGCAGGAGCAGGTTGTTAAGAGGAGTATACTAGTCTTTTTTTTCATTATCTGAAATTATGTAAAGTAGATGTTTGCTGTGCCAGGGATCACTGTACAAAGTATTTCTTAATAGGTACAGAATTAAGGCTGTTCTAGGTATAGCATTTACCTCCTGTTTGCCGTCCCAGTTTAAGTTGGTAGAGGCCTCAAGACCTTCAAGTCGAAGACCCAGACCTCTGCGTCCTCTCTGTCTGCTTGCCTCTACTGGATCTACAAGACCTTGGCCATACTTGCCCAGTCCTTTACCTTCCTCATAACCCATATTTTTCTGAAAAGTTAAAAGAAAAGGATTATCTTTGTGATACTCATAATCCATTTTTCCAGCCCATAAAGGGTGGAAAAAATGACAATCACATAAAAACATCACTTCTTGATTTGCTACATTTTCTCAAGACTCCACTATGCCCATTCAGTATAATGTACACCAATTTCTCATTGTCTTATTTTTTACTCTATTTTTAAATTGGAATTTGTTGAATTTTGTGTAGAACTGGCCAAATTATTGACTTCTGTGTATAGCTTCTCCTCACTTAGTGACATACTCGCTTACCAACGACTCGAACTTACAACAGGCTCTCTAACCAGCATGCATACCTAATTAATGTATATTAGGGCTGATTTCCTCTATTCTGTTTATTACAGTATACAGTACACTAATGTATAAACATTGAAAAATATACAAAAAATGTTATAAATGATGCAAAGGGGACTTTAAAACAATATAAAAAATGGTCGACACAAACCCATTACCATTATAGTATGCTCCTTGTTTTCGCGATGAATTCATTTACTGACATGGTCTTAGGAATGGAACTCCATCATTAAGTGAGGAGAGGCTGTATTTTATAGGGTAGTTCTGATAGCTGAATGGGAAATTTCTTGTACTCAGTTAATAGAACAGAAAGCATGCTAGCAAAATAACAAAGAATTTGGTCTTATTTTAAGCAGTGGAATTGGCTTAAAATAGGACTCAAAGTGGGCATAATTGCAAATGCATAAATTTCACCCAGACTTCCAATTTTGTACCAGCATAATTCCATAAGTTTTGTATCAAATTTTGTATTTTTGGTGTCATTACTTTTCGTAAAAGATTCTCTATTATTTCAAAAGAAAAAATTATATGTATATTTTTTTTTAAAAATCACAACACCATCAGCATTTTTAATCTCTGGGGTCGTGACAGAGAAAGGGTTAAGGACTCACTAGGTCATAAGTAAGTAAGTAAGTTTATTCAGGTATACACAGATACAGTTACATAGAATTATCATACATAGCAGCATATGTGTAGAGAACCTAGGATAACCCAAAAAAGTCAGACAGTGACTTATTTCCATTGGGGTCCTTTTACCGTATTATTATTATAATATAAAGGTTATAATATTTTCTTATTATTCTATAATGAAGATAACATCTTATTATCATACTAAAACGACTATCTACTACATGAGGGTCATTAAGACTATCTACAATACGAGGATCATTACTAGGAATAAGGTAAAATTTACACGTATGTTAGCTAAAAAATAGAAAATCATTCCCCTCCCTTTCTGTAGCTACATTCATCAGACACCTTTTGGCACTCTTCTTGAACTGGTTCATGCTATGACTGGCTTTGACATGTGCGGGCAGTCTGTTCCATTCCTTTATTGCTGTACAATAAAAGGTGTTTGAAGCCTGGCCAATGACTGTGGGTACTACAAAGTTGTGCTCTCTCCCCCTAGTACTATGATTGCTTTGGTTCCCAACCTTGACAAAATTGACAGCAAGATATTCTGGACACTGTTTGTGAGCAATTTTATAAACATGATTTAGCTTCAGTTGTTTTACTCTGTCTTCAACATTCAGCATATCCAACTGCTGTGGCCGGTGCCGGTGGCCTGGTGGCTAAAGCTCCCGCTTCACACACGGAGGGCCAGGGTTCGATTCCCGGCGGGTGGAAACATTTCGACACGTTTCCTTACACCTGTTGTCCTGTTCACCTAGCAGCAAATAGGTACCTGGGTGTTAGTCGACTGGTGTGGGTCGCATCCTGGGGGACAAGATTAAGGACCCCAATGGAAATAAGTTAGACAGTCCTCGATGACGCACTGACTTTCTTGGGTTATCCTGGGTGGCTAACCCTCCGGGGTTAAAAATCCGAACGAAATCTTATCTTATCTTATCTTATCTTGGCCTACATGTTCTCTTGGTCCCAGCCCCAGGATGAATCTTACGATTTTGTTCTGGGTGATTTGCAGTCTATCTTTCAGTTTTTTTAGTCAAGGCAGAGTACCATGAAGAGCAAGCGTAATCCATATGGCATCGTATAAGGGCTAGACATAGGGTCCTGCGAGCCTCAGTAGGTAGACACTGTGCTTGTCTATACAGGAACTTCAGTCTGGCATTCGCTTTCTTTACTACACTGTTCCCTATCAATTCTCTTGACATGCATGGGTCAAAGGGGATTCCCAGATATTTTACTGATGAAACCAAAGTGATGGGCTCCCCATTACACTGGACCTTAAAATTATTTACCCTTTTCAGTTTATGTTTCGTGCCAAAGAGATTGGCTTCAGTTTTCCCGAGGTGCAATGATAGTTTGTTGTCTACTAACCACTTGCTGCAGGACTCCAGTTCCTGTGTTAAAACATTAGCTATATCTTGTGGGTCTTTACCTGACACTAACAGGGCACTGTCATCTGCATACAGTAGGAGTTTGCACTTGACACTGATAGGCATGTCATTGACATAACATAAGAATAATAAGGGACCCAGAATACTACCTTGGGAACTCCACATGTTATCGGCAGGGTTCTGATTCCGTTTGTTGATTTTGACAATTTGTCTCCTGTTGCTAAGGTAGGACTTAACCAGTCTACAGAACCTATACCGATAGCTTGAAGTTTCTTACATAATATATTGTGGTTGACAGTATCGAAGGCCTTTTGCAGGTCTAAGGTTACCATACCTATGAGGTTCCCCTTTGACATTTCAGTTCTCAGGTAATCCATCAGATTAATTAGGGAGGTGTTGGTTGAGTAAGATCTTCTTAAGCCCAACTGATAGCTATGGAGAATGTTGTTGTCATTAAGGTACTTAACTACTTGAGAGTACACCGCCCTCTCTAGAATTTTGGATATTATACTGAGTATACTAACAGGCCTATAGTTTTCTGACATCAGACTACTATTTTTCTTGAAGATAGGAGTAACTCTGGCCTCCTTGAACCCCTCCGGTACGGTATTAGTGGTGATTGATAGATTTATTATGTGAGTAATAGGAATTGACAGTTCAGAAGCACCATCTTTTAGGAACTTAGACGGGATGTTATCAGGGCCTGTGCTCTTAGTTGGGTTTAACCTGCTTAGTTCTTTTTGAATAAAGTCATGAGATACCCTTACTAGTTGACAACTGTTTGGGGTTACCCCTTTATTGGTATAGTAGTTTGAAACTTATCAGTCTGTGTTAAAGGTATTTGATGCAACTGGTAGTTTACTTACTAGTGTTGATGCAACAGATGTGTAGTAGGAATTAAAGCAATTTGCCACCTTAGATGTTTCGTGGCATACCTCATTATCGATAGTGAGTACTATGTTAGACCTATCTACTGGCTTATGGCTATACCCCAGCTGTTTTAGTTGTTGTCAGAGTTTTCTGGGGTTATGCTTATACTCTTCAATTTTTGAGCAATAGTGCTTTGCCTTTGCTCCTTTTATAAGTCTCTGTACTCTGTTCCTCACCCTTTGGAATTCATTTAGTACTGCAATATCCTGTGTGTTTGCTTTAAATCTTTTTAGCAGCTGGTCTCTGAATTTCATATTATCTAATATCTGATATTAGATAATATTACAAAGATTAGCAGCAATGCTTAAAATGCTTTCTGAATATACTCCACATGCTACATTAACTCTCAGATATGAAAAACAACTCTCATTATACAAATGTGGAATTTTACAAGTAATATGTTTTGATTAACCAACATCACAACTTGAAAACTTTCTTCAGTGAACAAATCACAAGCCTACCATCATCCGTTGGGCAAAGACACTGTAATTGGTGTTGGTGTTTGCCACGCCTCCAGTCTCATCAGTCTGCTCTTTTGCATTAATAACGTCCCACCCACCACCTCCATCTTCGTTATCAGAAAGATCTTTGCTCTTCAAATCTATGCTCAAGCGGGACTGTTTATTTGGTCTTCTCGCCGAAGAGCTCGAGGAATCCTCATCTTCTGATGAAGTATCTGTGATGATGGGTAAAAAATATAAATCAGTGATATTTATTATGAAAAATTAAATCATGCCAAAAGGCATAAATTTAAAAGGTGCAAAATAAGTGATGTACTCTACAGTATTTTTTTTCTTTAAATCATACCTTTACTTAAATTACCAGTTAAAACCTGCCTACTTTACAAGTCCTCTTCCAGTCCCAGCTTAAACCCAAAACAATCACTGACATTTCTATTGATTTAAGCATACTCCTTATTCTTGAAAAACAAGTTATTTTCAACTAACACAAATAGAAGATGAAATTACATCTTGAGCCATTAGTGTCACTTTTATTATTAGAAAATTATTTTATTTCAAAATCTCCTTTTTCCCACATACTAAAACACGTATACAACAGCCTTTAACCCTTTGAGGGTCGACAGGCCCTCTCCGAAACTCGTTCTCAGGGTCGGCCAAATTTAAAAAAAAAAAAAAATTATTTTCTCTTATGAAAAGATAGAGAATCTTTTCCCGATCATAACGACACCAAAAGTTTGAAATTTGATACAAAACTTACGGAATTATGCTCTCGCAAAGTTAGCGGTCTCGGCGATGTTTACGGATCGGCGATTTTGCCCACTTTGAGCTCCATTTTCGGCCAATTTCACTGTACTAGTCGACAAAAAACATGAATATTTCGCTAGAACTCCATTTTTTCTATCGAATGGGTGCAAGAAACCACCCATTTATAAATTCAACTATCCAGTACAGTGGTCAGAATTTAGCAATTTTGCCAATTTCACACAAATTTCAAAAGATGCCAATTTCGGAATAGGGTCCAAGAATAAAACAAGAAAGACATTCCTGGGCACTAAAATGACATTTCCTCTAGTCATTAGTCACGTCTCAAGGCCCCTCTTATATTCTTTTGATTTCCACTTTGAATTTTATTCTCACAAAAAATATAAGATTTACTGTTATGCAGACTACTGCATTAGTGTAAAAAATGGTATAAATATTATTGGTGCACTTGTGAAAGAATATTAGACTCACCAGTTGACGTGTATTGCACGCTTGGCACGATTTGTTTACTTTTGAAGTTTGGTAAAAATCGAACATTTCTGCTATTTTGAGCTCAATTTCAAGGCACCTTTCATTGTAAAACCAGTCAAAATCATCTCAATTTCAGTAATATGTCTTCCATTCTATAAAATGAGACCAAGAAAACTAGAATACAACAATAAATACCATACGAAAAATACACTGCAAAGTCGCTGATTTATTAAAAAAAAATGGAAAAAGTTATTTTTTTCTCATTATGCACTGTGTGCTGCAGGATTTTTTTTAGACTGTGCACACTGACCACATAGACCCATTCTTTCATATGAAGGCCTACCAGCTTTCTCCCACTAGATTTGAGGTCGCTAGAATTTATGAGTACTAGTACGTCAAAAACCCCTACGCGTAAGACGTACTAGTACGACGAAAACCCTCAAAGGGTTAATAAATGACCTATGTATTTCCTCCTGAATTCTAATTAAAATGTTAATATATTTTTAATTTTATCATTTGATATTCACCACAAATGCAGAAACTGGAAGCAAAAAATTGAAAATAAAAAAGCATTTTGGTTCGTGATGAGCAGTTATAAGGTCATGCCTTCATAGCAGTATAGGACACAATGAAAATGCCTTTCAATTTTCATTTATGCACAGTTTGTTGGTTTGCTATGAACTGTTCCTACCACAATATAAAAATGTATACCTTTCATGAGTTTCAAGAGTTTTTCTATTCCTGGAGCCCAGCTTTGGGTCAGGCTTGTGTGGTGCTTGCCTGGTCAACCAGGGTGTTGTTGCCGGCAGCCTACTGGCCCAAATATCCATCACAAACTGGTTTATCTGACACATGGTGAAGATACTTGTCCAGTTTCCTCTTGAAGACTTCTTCATTTGTCTCAGAAGTGTTTCTGATATCTTCTGGTAAATATGTTCAATTAATATTCACAGTCCTTTGTAGCTCTAGTATTCCCAAATAGGGTACAATAGAACCCCGACTCCTGAATGTCAGAGTTTCATACATCTACATTTAAGAACATCTGCACTTACCTGGAACCAATAAAATCTCTTGCTGACATTGTTCTAGAGATGAACATTCAAAAAAATCAAACAAGTAATTTTCAAGAACATTTTCTCCATTATTTTTCATCAGCATATTCAATACACTGTATTCATATTCTGTATATAATATGTTCATTTTATACATATGTGGAGAGCTCATAGATGTTCGGTAGAAACTGATCAAGAATTATAAATTTAATAATTACAATAATGTTAAAACTGAATCATTAATACTGTGCAGTATTAGTTTTTTCCATTATTTTTTTCACAAGCACTGACATATTTTGTATGTTCATGTTATGCATCGTTGGTGGGCTCGTATTTGTTTGGTAGAGATTCGTCAACAACTGTTGACTATGTTGGTCTCTTCAGCAGTGGTCAGCTGTGTTCAGTACACATTCAAAGTTCACTTGCATTGTTCTCACATCGCATCCCACCCCCACAACAACCCTCCCATACTACAAGCCAGACACTCATTCCCCTCATCCACAAGCAGTGACAAGTGAGAGGCTAGGAGACTGTGACATTAAAAAATTGGAGACTGGGAGAGGAAGGAAAGGGAAAAGAGAAGGAGTCATCTGTGTACTGTATGTTTTTAATTTCATTGTGAAACAAAATTGACATGACTGATTATAACATGGGCATCTATGGGAAAAGTTAAGGTGTTCCAAACACCTGAGCTACAAACAAGTTTCAGGTTCTTTTACTGGAAATAATTTACAGTGTGTAGTAGGTTGGTAGACAGCAACCACCCAGGAAATACTACCGTCCTGCCAGATGACTGTGAAACAGAAACCTGTAACTGTTTTGCATGATGGTAGGATTGCTGGTGTCTTTTTCTGTCTCATAAACACGCTAGATAACAGGGATATCTTGCTACTCCAACTTACACTTTGGTCACACTTCACAGACATGCACATGCATATATATATACATACATCTAGGTTTTTCTCCTTTTTCTACATAGCTCTTGTTCTTCTTTATTTCTTCTATTGTCCATGGGGAAGTGGAAAAGAATCTTTCCTCCGTAAGCCATGCGTGTCGTATGAGGCGACTAAAATGCCCGGGGGCAATGGGCTAGTAACCCCTTCTCCTGTAGACATTTACTAAAAAAAAGAAGAAGAAAAACTTTATAAAACTGGGATGCTTGAATGTACATGGATGTAGTGCAGATGACAAGAAACAGATGATTGCTGATGTTATGAATGAAAAGAAGTTGGATGTCCTGGCCCTAAGCGAAACAAAGCTGAAGGGGGTAGGGGAGTTTCGGTGGGGGGAAATAAATGGGATTAAATCTGGAGTATCTGAGAGAGTTAGAGCAAAGGAAGGGGTAGCAGTAATGTTGAATGATCAGTTATGGAAGGAGGAAAGAGAATATGAATGTGTAAATGCAAGAATTATGTGGATTAAAGTAAAGGTTGGATGCGAGAAGTTGGTCATAATAAGCGTGTATGCACCTGGAGAAGAGAGGAATGCAGAGGAGAGAGAGGGGATTTTGGGAGATGTTAAGTGAATGTATAGGAGCCTTTGAACCAAGTGAGAGAGTAATTGTGGTAGGGGACCTGAATGCTAAAGTAGGAGAAACTTTTAGAGTAGGTAACTTTGGGGTGCCAGGTGTAAATGATAATGGGAGCCCTTTGATTGAACTTTGTATAGAAAGGGGTTTAGTTATAGGTAATACATATTTTAAGAGAATAAATAAGTATACAAGATATGATGCAGGGCGAAATGACAGTAGTTTGTTGGATTATGTATTGGTAGATAAAAGACTGTTGAGTAGACTTCAGGATGTACATGTTTATAGAGGGGCCACAGATATATCAGATCACTTTCTAGTTGTAGCTACACTGAGAGTAAAAGGTAGATGGGATACAAGGAAATAGAAGCATCAGGGAAGAGAAAGGTGAAGGTTTATAAACTAAAAGAGGAGGCAGTTAGGGGAAAGATATAAAACAGCTATTGGGGATAGATGGGCTAATGAGAGCATAGGCAATGGGGTCGAGAGGTATGGGGTAGGTTTAAAAATGTAGTGTTTAGAGTGTTCAGCAGAAGTTTGTGGTTACAGAAAGTGGGTGCGGGGGGGAAGAGGAGGATTGGGGGAACGATGATGTAAAGAGAGTAGTAAGGGAGAAAAAGTTAGCATATGAGAAAATTTTTACAAAGTAGAAGTGATGCAAGGAGGGAAGAGTATATGGGGAAAAAGAGAGAGGTTAAGAGAGTGGTGAAGCAATGTAAAAAGAGAGCAAATGAGAGAGTGGGGGAGTTAAACAACAAAATTTTGTTGAAAATAAGAAAAAGTTTTGGGAGTGAGATTAACAAGTTAAGGAAGCCTAGAGAACAAAAGGATTTGTCAGTTAAAAATAGGAGAGGAGAGTTATTAAATGGAGTTTTAGGGGTTTTGGGAAGAGGGAGGGAATATTTTGGGAAATTTTAAATGTTATGAAGAAGGGAAGGTGATTTCGTGTATAGGGAAAGGGAGGAATAACATTTTGTAGGGTGGGGAAGAGCCATTGTAGTGTGGGGGGAATTGTGAGGCAGTAGGAAAATAAGGGGTAAGGCACCCGGGGTTTGAGGGGATAAAGATAGAAATTTTTAAAACGGGTGGGGAATAGTTTTGGGGGGTTGGGTGCAATTATTTAATAAATGTAGGAAGAGGGTAAGGAAACCTAGGGTTTGGCAGAGAGCCATAGTTCCTTGTATAAAGGCAAAGGGGACAAAGAGAGTGCAAAAATTATGGGGGGAAAGTCGTTGAGTATACCTGGTAAAGTGTAGGTAAGTTAAAAATTGAAAGAATTAAAAGTAAACGAGAAAGGATACAATAACAAGGAGGCTTAGAAAGGTAGGGGGTGTGTGGACCAGGTGTTTACAGTGAAACATAAAATGAACAGTATTTAGAAAAGGGAAAAAGGGGTTTTTGT